ATGTGTGAATGGGAAGTGACCACGTTTGCCATTACACTCCCCTTCCCACTGACCACTCACATTAATCTTCGTAACCTTTACCAGCTCACCGACCTCCAATCAGAGCCGATACTGAGGCGGAGGCAGGTCTATACTTCTCCACATAAGGGACTGGAATCATCCCCCTCTTTCCTTCGCTGTCCTCTGCATTCCACCACTGCTCTTCAGGCTTATCCCAGATTCTCAGGATGTCTCTTTTCTTAAAGGGAAGATCTTCTTCATCATTCCCATTAAAGTCAAAAAGGGCTCGAACATACTCTGCCTCCTCCTGCCTGAGAATCACTCCACTACCCTGCCTGGATCTGGAAACTGGTTCTATCAATGTTGTAGTGTCCAAATAGTGCATTTTGTAAAATTCCAGTAAAGCAGGCAATGAATCAAATTCTTGATCTCCTATTCGGAGTCGGGAGGGACTCACTCCCGGCGGAGGCTGAGCGGGCGACGGAGGCACTGGAAGGCGCGGGCCACTGCTGTTGATGTAGTGGGAGACACGCGAGTTTTCGGAGACGCTGAGCACATAGTCCCCGGGGCTGGTGCTCGAGTCCTGCACCAGGAACACCCCGTGCTGCTGGCCCTGCAATAGCGCCACCGCCTCCTGCCGGCTCAAGCGGCCCCAGTACCAGCTACTCCGTTCCTCTGAGTCGAAGTTGCCCGCCATGGCCGCCTCCGCGCCTCCATGCTGAGCCGCCGCCGCCACGAGCGCCCCTCCAGCCCTTGCGCCCGCCGCCCAGCGGACCGGCTCCGGTGTCAGGCTCCCAGCCGGAAATACTCTTATTTTAACAAAATGTCATAGGACATGTTCTGTTGTAGAGTCAACTTTTGTTTTATTGAACATCCCTTCCAATTGTAAGAGATTCCCCTTCACTTCCTTCTAACACATCAATGTATACCTTTCAAATTTATATGTTACATTCAGAATGAGTTTGTAATATATGTTGGTAATGACTTAAGTTCGACTTTCAAGTGGACAATGTATTGCTTTGGGGGGTGTTAAATGGTTTATTAGTTACTTTTTTCTTTTTTTAACATAATTTCTTTATTCATTCTTTGGGAATGTCACATCATGCATCCTAGTTCTGCTCACCTCCTAGTACCCTCATATCCTCCCCTCATCCCTGCAGTGCTCTCCAGAAAGAAAAATTTAAAGACGCAAACCAAGACAAAGCAAGCAAGCAATCAAACAAAAACAAAAACAAAACAAACAAAAAGCAAAAGTCAAAAACAGAAAAACTTATTTGTAGTGGGTAGCCATTCCAGCTTTGATCTGGAAGTTCCAATCCCCATTGAGACTCTGGTAACTGTCACGTCTACGAGGCGGGGCCAGGGGAGGCGCCTGGAGACCCGAGATCTGGATGGGCCAGCGCTCTCTCTGTTCTGGGATCCTGAACGGTGGAGGTGGACCGAACAGAGCTCCAGAGAACACCGCTGGACTGCAATACACCTTCCCCAGACCCCGCGACCTACCTATCCCTTAATTTGTAAGTTACGCCATTAAATAAATATCCTTTTAACCGCGTGGAGTGGCCTTAATAATTTCACCAATACTTATTTGCTTCTTCTTTCCTGTCTCTCTAATACTTCTTCATTAGTCCTGGTGGCATTGGAATCAGAGGGGTGTCACACAGTGCACAGTACACCCCTTTGTCCAATCAGCTTTACTTGCAAAGTTCATTGCAATGAGCCTATGGTTTCTGATACACCATCATCATTGATGGTGTATGACATCACATACAACCAAACTCCTCTGGGATATCCTGAGGCTGCTAAGAGTCATGAAGATCCTGCAGATATTGTTCCACAGGGGTTTGGCCATGGATCTCTGCATCTGCTTCCACCAGTCACTGGATGAGAGTTCTATCATGACAGTTATTCATGCCATCCGATCACCAGAGCAGGTCAGATCAGGCACTCGCTCGACCATTGCCAGTAGCCTATAGTGGAGGTATCTTTGTGGATTTCTGGGGACCCCTCTAGTACTTTGCTTCTTCCTATTCCCATGGGGTCCTCATTTATCATGGTGTCTCTTTCCTTGTTCTCCCACTCTGTTCCTGATCCAGCTGGGACCTCCCACTCTCCTAAGCTCTCTTTCCCCTGACCCTTGTCATCCATTACCCCCCCCCAGCCCCCAGGTAGAGCTCCAGGAATCCAACCAGCGAGTCAAAGAAGGGATTATATGAGCAAGAGATACGGAGACCATGATTGGAAAAAGCACAGGGACAAATAGCCAAACTAGTGGAAACACATGAACTGTGAACCAATAGCTGAGGAGCCCCCATGGAACTGGACCAGGCCCTCTGGAGAAGCTTGAACTGTTTAGGAGGCCCCAGGCAGTGGGACTGGGACCCGTCCTTGGTGCATGAACTGGCTTTTTGGAACTAGGGCCTATGCTGAGACACTTTGCTCAGCCTTGATACAGGGAGGAGGGGAATGGACCTGGCTCTACTGAACCTACCAGGCAGAGCTGAATCCCCAAGGGAGACCTTGCCTTAGAGGAGGTGGAAATGGGGGGTGGGTTGGGGGGGAAGGCTGGGGTGGGAGGAGGGAGGACAGGGGAATCTGTAACTGATCTGTAAAATTAATTATAAAATAAAAATATTTATTAAAAAAAGATATTGTTCTACAGAACCAGTCCCTTCACAAGCTCCAGCAGGTCCTAGGTGGGATAGATGTTAGGGTGGGCCAACTCAAGTTCCAGCTGTCAGCCTGGATGATAGCTGAGCTGATCAGTCTGGGCCACTGGGTCCACCGCCCTCAGGTAGGAGGACAGACGGAGCTAGCCCCCCTATGGACATACCATCAGGGTTGGTTCTTCCTCTACTATGGCGAAGGATAGGGCCATATCTCCCAAGTGCAGGGGCCAGCTCTTACTGCAGTGTCCAGCGGGAGGCAATGTCCAACTTTCCCAGGACCAGGGAAGGGTGGGGCCTCCTCAACATGGCCCTCTGATTTCATCACACAAGGTTCCTACGGCCCCATGAGGTGACACGGGCCACAGACATTAACACAGACCCCTACTTCACCAGGATCTCATACCCAGATATGGCCCTTGGCAACAGCTTGGGCCCTGACATCCTGGCTCTGGGTGGAAGCACTAGCCACTCAGCTCAGGATAGCTCTGGTGGCAGCATGGCTCCTAGACACCACCAAGGCCTCAAGTTGTAGCCCTAGTATTCAATATAGTCTAAAGAATTTTTTCTCATTTTATTAGTTCTTTGAGAATTTCATGTTTGTATTTTGATCATATTTACCAGCTCCCATTTCTGCCCTCCCTACCTGGTGAACTTTGTATCCTCTTTTTTTTTTTTTTCTCTTAAACCCATCAAGTCTCATTTGTGCTGCCCACATACTCTTGGGTGCGTGGCTTTCCATTTGTGCATGCTTACCTCACTGTCAGCAACACCCTTAAAATGAAGTGACTTTCTTCTTACCAGCTATCAATTGTCAATAGCTTCTCATCTGAGTGAGACATCATGGCCACCTCTGCTCTCGATACTGGGTTTAGTCTAGTTTGAGGTTGCATAAGACTTGTGATTGCTGCCATGCTGTTGTAAGCTCATGTGAGCAACTGCCCTGCTGTGTCCAGAAAACTTTCCTGTAGTCATCCATCATCTCAGGTTCTTATACTCTTTCTTTGCCCTCTTCTGCAATGATCCTTGAGCTTTTAGAGGATGTGTGTAATTACAGATTTCTAATTTAGAGTTGAGCATATTGTCTTGAGTTCTCCCGCTACCTATTTCTTCACCCTGGCTAACCTCATGTGTCCTTTTATCTGGCATTCATGTTATGTGCACTACTCACGATAGCCCTTCTTGTCTCTTGAAATATTATCAATGCCCAGCCCTTCATAGCTGAGGGTCCACATGTGGTCAAAAAAATCAGTAATAGAGGGGTGTGGTAGCATTGTGAGGCCAAGAAAACATCAAGGTCTATAGCCCTACAGACAACAAACATGCTCTAGATTATATCTGATGAATGGGGTCTGGATCCCTGGAGTGCTGCTTCCAACATCTAGGGAAAGTTTACTAGGTAAATGCCACTGTTTGCAACACAGTGGCAACAAATGAGTTCTGGCTTCACCCCTCAAAACATGTGGTTATGCATAGTCTTCTAGAGAAGATCTACACCTTGTATAAATCCAACAAAGATGTACGAGCTCTGCATGTCCCATACCTGAGTTGATTCTGATTTCTGATGCAGGTAGTCTTGTATGTGTTGACCCAGATATTATTCTTCTCCTTTGCACAGTGACAGGCCATGTCCAAAGGTTGGTACTCTGAGTAAAGAGTACCACATGTAGATGTCTGAGCAGCTCTTTTCGGAGATCTCCAAGTAAAAATAGGATTTTAGGCTTTGATGATGAAACTAATTTCAGGGCATGCCAGTATGAAGCAAAGTGTGATTTGATAAAACCAGAAAGAAAGGAATTTAGTAAGAGAGGAAACTGGTTAGCCCTGTAACATTTGTGCCACTACTGCACCCATGGTCATATCTTGCCACACTAGTTACTCTTAAAGTCCACAGGGGTCATATCTGAGTAAGACTGTTGATGACTTTTGTCCTCCAGCAGCCCGGAAAAAACAAAACAACATCATCAGGGAAAAAACAAAACAACAACAACAAAAACTTCTTGGCCACTACCAACTTGATTTCTCCATGATCTGTAACCAATGTTTATAGTTTCTTTAGGAATCCAGTTTAAACATCAAGTCCTGGTGGGTAACCAAGCACAATTTCAATAGCCTGTATTGTTTGAGAGGGTCTCCAAGACATTTTCTGACTGACAACTTAAGAGAAAGTATTCCACTCCTGGCACTGTGCTTTCTATTTGTTAGTCTATGGTTTCTGGGAGGAAAATAATTCCTCTGTGTAGGGAAACCTCAGCTAAACGCTTATATCTAATCTAAATAGACACACACATACACACACGCACATACACACACACACACGAAGCGGATAAAATAGGTTTCTAAATGCTTTTTCAAACATTTTGAATGTTATCTTTCCCTCTCCCCCATCCTCTGCCCTACACTCCAATACCTCTCCCCATTGAAACCTGCCTTCCCATTATTCCCTCTTTATATCTATCCTGTGTTCTACTATCTATGAGGGGGGCAGATTTTACTCTATAGGATTCTATTCAAATGTCAAATTTTCAATCAAATAAATGTATTTCAAGAGGAGATATATGTTCCATTCAAAGGGCAAGTAGGTAAATGACCATAAATCTATAACTGACAAAACGAATACTGCCCATAGCAGACAATTTCCTGAAAAATATTTGAGGTAACTCACAGAAACAAAAACAAACATAAAACCAGAATCTCACTCACAGCAGATATGAAAATAATAAAACACAAAACATGCTGACTGAGGAGGCAGAAAGACCACTACAAGAAAAACTAAAACATGAAAAAAAAATTTTGGATTTGTTTTACTTTGTATATGAAAGTTTTGCTTACATGTATGCATATTCACTACGTGTACAAGGCCCATGGGTGCCACAAGGTACTAGATACTCTCAAAATCGTGTCACAGATGGCTGTTAGCAGCTATGTGTTTGCTGAGACCCAAGCCCTATATAAGAGCAGCTAGTGCTCTTAACCACTAGGGCATTTTTCTAGCCCTGAAAAAAACAAAACTTAAGATGAAAGTAGCCAGCATCTGACCTTGAGTAAGCATTTGCCTTACAAAGTATCAGTGTATGCTATTTTCCCAGTCTTTGCCTCTTATCATGGAAAATTTCACACATGCATTTTGACATTCTAGC